TAGTATTCGACCGACCATGTTTGGTCGACCGAGTAGCTGCTTTATTGATTGGTCAGTTCGCACGATGATCGTGTGGGCCAAGAAGTAATGTCTTAGTCTCCTTGTCGTGTTAATGAGGACCAAAGAAACCTTTTCAATTTGTTTATATTTGACCTCAGGTCCGTGTAGTGCTTTGCTGGTGAAGTACACAGGCTTCTGCCTGTCAACGATTTCGTGAACAAGGGTTGTGCTAACGGCCTATGCTAAAACGGCCATGTAGATAAAAAGAATCTCTCTGTTTTCAGCTCGTGAGAGCACTGGTGGTTCCGAGAGAGCTTACTTGAGGTGGAAGAGGGATTTTTCGCATTCATCGGTCCATTCAAATGTTGCTTCTTTGCGTAGGAGTTTGAAAAATGGCAGTGTATGTTAGGAAGATTTTGCCACGAAGAGAGATGGCGAGGTGAGCATACCGTTCAAGACTTGTATGGATTTTTTTGAGTCGGGAGCGGGGAGTTCAGAGAAGGCCCTACATTTGTCGGGGTTGGCTTTGATCCCTTATTCTGTCAAATAGAAATCGAGGAAATTACCCGCCTTAATCCCAAAAGTGCATTTTTCCGGGTTGAATCTCATCTTACATCTCCTTGCCCGATCGAAGACTCTTTTTAGGTGGGTCGTGTGGTTGATTTCCGCTAGAGATTTTACGATTATGTCGTCCATATACACCTCGAGCGTGTCTCTGATCCCCATAAAAAACCTTGTTCATCATTCGTTAGTATGTTGCGCCGGTGTTTTTCAGGCCGAAGAGCATTACATTATAGTAATAATTGTTTGACTCGGTCATGAAGGTTGTGCACTGTTTATCGCTCATTTCCATGGAAATTTGATTATAACCTGAATATGCATCCATAAATTATAAGAGTTTATAGTCGGCCGAGTTGTCGACCAACCTGTCAATATTAGGTAAGAGATGTGCGTCCTTGGGACATGCCCGGTTAAGATCAGTATAATCAACACATATACGCTATTTTCCATTATTTTTCTTAACAAATACAACGTTGGAGAGCCAATTTAAATAGTGAGCCTCAGAAATAAAATTTTCCTCAAGGAAGTCTTTTACAGCTTTTTCAACAGCCTCCGCTTTCTTATGAGACTACCTACGCCTACGTTATACTATTTCCCTAGCGGCTGGATCCACAACAAGTTGGTGACAGGCGATCTCAGGGTCAAGTTCGGGCATCTCTGCAGCGCTTTACGTGAACAAATCAACATTCTCCCTCAGGAAGACTTTGAGCTGCTTCCTCGCCATATTGGGAAGTCCAGCTCCAATCTTCACACCTTTGTTTGGGTCCTTGCCGAGGAGGATGATTTTAAAGTCTCTGTCAGGAACGGGCCGAAGAGGATCTTGTTCGCCATTGGGGACCTCGACTTCATCTTTGTTGAAGCGGGTGTCGAGGTTAATAAAGTCGACACGGGGGGGGGGGGGGGGGGGGGGGGGGGGGGGTTCCTCGCATTCTTCAGTCTGAGCGGGCTTTGCCGCATGGGAAGTTGTTTTGTCGGTGGTTCTTGGCTTTGTGTCGACCATATTTTGTCCCTTTGAGGCCACATTAAAGCACGTTCTCACAACTTGGATGTCTTCATGAATGGTGGCGACGTGGCCTCTTTTTGTGTTGAATTTCATCTTTAGATGAACCGTGTAGGCACGGTGGTCAACTCGGCCAATGTTAGTCTTCCTAGGATGTAGTTGTAGTGAGATGGGCAGTCGACCACTAGGAAGCAGACTTTCACATGTCTGGCGATTGTCTTTATCTTGAATGTGACCAGCAGCTCGACGTAGCCCCATGTCTTAGAGGTCGAGCCATTGAAGCCTTGCAGGTCGGAAACCCATGTATGGTGACAAGTGGGACCTCTCGAGCTATAGAGTCTGGAACAGCTGAGTATACATGACGTCGATGAAACTCCCCTTGTCGACCAGGATGCGGTGTACATCGAAGTTGGCCATCTTTACTCGCACGAGCAAAGGGATGTGGGAGTTGGGAGCTCTACCAGGAAGTTCCTCGAGGTAGAAGGTGATGGGCTCGTATTTTCCTTAGAACCTGTCAAGGGTCATGGTCTAGACCGGAGTCGCATCTATCAGCTCCTCGAACTTCTTTTTCACCGAATTCACAAAGAGAGTGTCAAATCCCCCTCTGAAAATGACCATGACAGCGGGGAATTTCTCTCATCTGCTATAGATAAATAAGAGCTCTTCGACGTCGTCGAGGATGTAGAAATCCTCAGGTCACGAAACAGACAGGGAAACTTGGTGGAGGCCAGCTTTGTCAGAGGGGCGAGCATCCTCCTCGATCTCTGTCACCTCACAAGTGTTACGGCGTGGGGCTTCGTTTTTCTTGTACTGCCCAAGCCTCCCCCACCTTAATATGAGGGTCTCAGTAGCATCCTTCATATGGACGCAGTCCTCAGTAACATGGTCGTGACTCCGGTGATACTGACAGTATTTAGTCTTGCCAACCCTGAGCTTGAAGGGTGTAAGTTTAGGTCAACAGACTCCGACATCCTTGAATTTAGCATTAGCACACTCGACGAGGATGCGCTCGCAGGGAGCAGCCAGTGGAGTGTACTCGATAAAGCGCATGGTCGATCCTCTATGCTCGCGAGGGTCGCGAGGCTCTTCATCCCTTCTCTTATCCCCAGGTCTTCAGGATGGTCCTGTATCGTTGTGCCCCAGGGAACTGAGTGCTCTGCGGTTCCTGGAGTCGCGGACATTATTGACGGCCACCTTCTCCTCGTCTGTGATGTAAGCTTGGGCTTTATGGAGGAGATGATCGAATGACCTCGGAGGCTCGATGCCAACTGTCTTATGAGAATCGTTTCCCAGGAGAAGGCCTTTCTCGAGCAGATACCTCTTCATGCGATCGATGGTGGGGGCCTGAATGGCCTCGTAGTTAAATCGGTCAATGTATGCTCATAGAGATTCTTCGGTTCCCTGGATGATCGCTTCGAGGGACACCTCGGTCTTAAGGTGACACCGAGAAGCGGTAAAGCTACTGGAAAACTGGCTCTTCAGATTTCTCCAAGAAGTGGTGGATTTGGGGAAAGGCCTTTGTACCAGTCCATAGCAGTTTTCCTCAAATTTGTGGGAAATAACTTGCACTTAATGGCACCCCTGGCGTTGTGGAATTGGAGCATCGCCTCGAAGGCGTCGACGTGGTCATCAAAATTCGTCAAGCCATTGTAGTTGTTTAGAGGTGGAGGTTTCTCCATTCCCTTAGGGGTAGGAGCCTTCATAATAGCTTGGGATAGCGGGTCGCGGGGGTCATCTTCATCGCTCTCATGTTCTGGGGGGTCGAGTTGGGGAGAAGTCGTAGTGGTGTCTTCTATGAAAAGGAGGGCTCTTCGACCGAGTTTTCTTCTCTTCCTTCCCCCTTGTCCTTTTCAGGAGTTGGGGAACGTCGTTCTTTGCGCAGAGGATATGATCACGCTTCTTGACGATTTCCTGTTGGGTCCCATCTAGTTGGGAGTGTCGCCCGATACGAAGGGGAGAATGACTGTGAGAATCTCCATGTTGGTGCCTCCGCAGAGATCGCGAATGGGGCTTCTGTCGTCGAGGAGATAGGGTGCGCGAGTCATGTCTTATGTTCCTTTCGGGGGGATCGTGACTGGCGGGTCTTCTCTAGCATCTAAGGCGTTCACCATGTGCGAAGAGCATGTAGTTGGTATGATTGAGCGCCACAATCAAGGCTTGAGTCGAGGGATCAGCATTGGCGGGCACTGGGATTTCCTGGTATACCGCGGGTTGCTCGACCTGCTGATGAGGGTCATCCAGAGGATATGGACGAGTGAAAGAGGAAGTCGTTCTTCCATCCTTGAGGTCGTGTTCGTGGACGCCCATGTTGTTGTTTCCAAGGTCGGCGAAGTGGGCGTTCTGGTCATCGTTGTTTGCTTGAGCGGCCATGATAATCGTGAGGTTGAGAGAGTTTGCTTTTAGTCTTGGTTAGGAAAAGACGGGAAAGCAGTGTTTCCCACAGACGGCGCCATTGATTATATCTTATCATAATGGATCGTCGATGACCCACAAACTTGAGTTGAACGACAATTTGAAGTGAGTGGGGGAGTGTGCCTGCAAGATACTCTGATGCCAAAATAAGAGTAGAGAGAATCAGAGTGCAAGTACTAGAAGTAAGAGTGGATGAATGAATATCTGACCCTCTCATGTAAGAGGATATTTATAGCCCCAGTGTTGGGCCAAGATTCACGTTTTGGACCAAATAGCTAGGCCCAATAACGATGACTAACATGGTTATGTGAATAATGGAGTCCAACACGTGACTTCCTCCCTGATTAACTACCCCGAGATAATAGAAAAGTTGAACCCGTTATTTTCGGTGGACAGAATGGTGTCAAAGATAATTGTTGGTCATGTTTCCCTAGTAGGCACATGGACAATCCTCCAACGTTATTGACTTAGACTAGATGCCATTGAGCCATAGCAGAAGTGTTGGATTGAGCCTGCCCAACGATGGGCCAAATGCCAGCCCAACCCAATATTCATACATGAATTTGATGTATTTGAGATTCATCCATAAATTATCTTCTAATTCTAAGGGTATTTTTGGTTTTCCACAGGGAGTGGTAGTAAACACATACACCTTTTCCAAATGCATAGACCTCTGGGTCATTTGATTATCCTCTCTTTTGCATGGAGCAAAACTATTAAGTGATTCCTCCAAACTTTAGCATGTTGTAACACCGAGGTTGAAAAAATACTAGTAGAAAAGAATATTGTATCTAAAAAAACGTTAAACAATGTTTCACTTGTCAAAAACAGCACAGAATATATACAATTTCAAGGTAACCAGTACATGCACCGGCAATGCAACATATTCCAAATCAGTCAAAATACTAAAATAGGCAGAAAGAAAATCGTAGATACAATGTACACAGTACAAAAAGTTAGATTTCTTCAAATGCATCTGTAAAAAGTTAACTGCAGCATCCAAAAACGAAAGAACATTGAAATTACTTCATTCCGTGGCCAAGTCACCATACTGCCATGGATTGAATTCTATTGATTTAACATCAACATCATCAACAACACTACCAGAGTTATCTGCAGCAGCCCGATGTTCGGCGTACTTACCATTATATTGGTAAATTTCCAAATCACCCCAAGGAGTTGATGTCACTTCTTCAGTTAATTCAAACCATCTTGGTGAAAATTTATGCCCTTTTTCCTCCCGAGCTCTCTTTTCAGCACGCTGTCTCTCCTCCAAACTGAAAAGAAACAACAAAAAAGATAAATATCCCAGGGAGCAAACTGGTGAAACTACAGCCCTACAAATCCAAAAGGAACTACAGCCCCCCCGGCCTCAGCCAAGTTATTTCAACGAACATAACAATTATAGAATGTAATGTTGAACATGTTAAACTGTTCCAAAATTTTATATGAACATATCTATCGCTTAAACAATGTTTAACTATATATTTTTGGGCACAAGGAGACAGAAAGGGAACAAAATAAATGCTAATATACCTGCTCTTTTCAGCCCCGGATTTGGACAGATCGCCCATCTCGAGTGCATATCTATCCGGGCGTAGACGTGAATCTGATGCCAACAACTTTCTTGGAGCAGTGTCAAAGCTGTTTATTTTATGGGCAAAATGTGTGTACTGGAATTTATCATTTGGAGGAACATCAGCAACATGCCAAACCTGCATATTAAATTCGCTAATGAAATGCCAATAACATTGATAAGGAACTTAGAGGTATTAATGCTGTTACCAGTCAATATATCTGCAAAGTATAAGAGTGACGTTACTTTATTTATCCAGTAGTGTGTCAGACTGTCAGACTCTTGATTGCAATGGCTATAACTTCAAATCTAGGAATTTCAATAAAACACTACATTTGGATTATAAGAGTGTGTGCGTGTTTATAAGATAGGGGATGGATCTTCTCTTTTTTTTCTCATGTTTATTCACGTGTTCATATATATCTACCCTTAAATCTCCTTTCTTATAATCATCTTTCTCTCTCCTTTATGATGGAAGGTGAGTATTTAAATGGTATCTCATGTCACATGAGAGGATCCATTACCATATAAGATATGGCCAACAGATACCTAATCATATCCTCGTCTTCTTCAATAACATCATGAAGTTTCTTTAAACAATTCTTGTTTCGAAGACAAGTTCAGGAGCGGAGATTCAGTTTTCATAAAATGATAAAAGCAAAGTAGTAATAGATTACTTGGAAAAAAATGGTTTGCTATACAAGAATAAAATTAAACTGATTGAGTATAAATAGTAGAAAAATTGTAGAGATATCCCTGAATATCTCTCTTACAAGCCACCACTCCCATGCTTGCTAAGAAGAGGGAGAGAAACTTTGTTCTTTTCTTCTTGTGAAGGCCTCTTGGTGGCTGGGCAGGGACCAAGGGGCAGATATGGATGATATTCACATGGGTCACCATGCATAATTGTCTAGTAAGAACTCCAGAACTGGAAAGAGTTTATGTCCAGAAACATCATTCTTTACAAATTTAGCCTACCGACCAGATAGGCAATGATATGAAATAGTAAGCTCGAGAAAATGAAAGATGCTTATGAACTTTGATTGCATATAATTCTCAAGATCAATTTGAAGATTAACAAAGAAAATATACCTCTTTCAACTCTGTGTTTGGAAGAGGCTCTCCTTCTGAATCACAAGGTTGATAACTCATTGACTGATTCCACTTCCCAGTCATCAAAATTTTAGGCTCTTCAGAAGAATTATAAATATAACCATCCACTTCATAGCGACCAGCACTATATAAGATGAGGAAATAGGTAGAGCTTAATTAAAGGCTGTATATACTGATACTAGTAAAATACCTAAACAGCTAATAGGAAAAAATGAAACAAAACATAGACATCGTATATGAAGGGAACAAAGTTCAGAGCCACTCAATTATCATCAAATCAAAGTCAAGTGAAACGGGAATAGTACTTTTATTTCAATATACATCAAGTCAAATTAATACACTAACCATCCACAAATTGCTCAAAGGTTGAACCTAAATCCTAATAAAGAACAGGCATAAACCAATTTAAAAAATGTATCTTTTTTCTAAACAAAAACTAGAAGTGGGAATGTTACTGACCCAAACCATCCACATTGTTGAAAGTAAAGTACGGCTTTGTCTCCGGTTGTCAAATTTGTCATTATCATTTCCCCAGGTGAATCAATCCAAGTCCGGCCAAATATCAAGTTGTTAACCTTTGTAGGAGGTGGCACCAAATCTAAGACTACACCGTGCCTCTTAAGGGTCACCCGCGTTCTGCAAACAATCACTCACAAAGATATTACTCCTCCTTAAATAGGAAACAGCAACAAGCTTATAGAAAAAAAGAAACAACAATAAAACCAACACAGCAAATATTTCAAATGAGAACAGAAAAGGTTAAATAAAGTATTAATTAATCATATATATAACCATGAGTGGTTGAATCTCATAAAACAGCTCTTCAAGACCCTAAACCTATATTGGCATTTGGTGACCTTGTATGAAGATCTTAAGAAAGCATTATAATTAGATCGAAACACACATGTTATATATTTATCACATATCCCTATTAATGTCTCTCCTCTGCTTGAAAACATTTGTAATCTCTTGGGAAAATAGATTAGAGATGAGATGGTAGTAACTCTTTCAATTAGGGTGTGACAAGTAAAAGCAGCAATAAGAGTGTGAAATTGGAAGAATTCAAAAAATATTAGTAACTATAGAAGAAAAACAATATAACAAAGGAAATCTACTAAACAAGTATGTTTATCACCTTCCAACAGGGTACACATCAACAGAATTCCCCAAAAACTTAGTTTTTAACTTTGAAGTTACGTCATATGTAAAATGTTCGTTCTCGGCATGCCCAGCACTCATTGGGGGATGATGACTAACCTGAAATTAAAAATAACTTTTCGATATACAAGGATAGAAAAGTACTTAAAAAATTCGGTTTGCTTTAACCAAACAAAATTAGAAAGGAAGAAAAGAAGTTAATATCCTTTCAAAACGGTTAGCATATGTATCACACGTGCACTGGGGATATATTTAGATCTCTTGATAAGTTCTTTTTATAAATGATGAACTTTATCAATACAGCCATTGAATTAAAATTTCTCATTTAGCAGATCAATCTGGTCTAGAAAACTCAAAGTAATTTGATATTAAATGGTACCACTTTATTTGAATATAGTGTGTGTGTGTGTGTGTAATTTAGACATTTGTAGGTACATAACACAATTCCATGACCAGATCAATGAATGTTGTATTCAACAAAAAGTTTGTTTGTGAAATTGAACACGACACACACATAAACATATCATTCTCAATTGATATGCCCCCCCCCCCCCCCCCCCCCCCCCCCATGAGAATCAAAGAGCGCCTATGAAAATCACAAACTGAATAGATACCTGTTCCGCAAGGAATGTAATTCCATTATGGTTAGTCAATTCATAAGTCTCTCCAAGGATAGGATTAAAAGGCTTCCAGGTCCGTTGGTATGCAAAGTACACAGATATAGCCCAGGACGCTGTGATCATTGTGTAGTTTAAATTAAACAATGAAGAAATACAAAAATATATATAAAAACAAACGCCTGATGTTTATAGTTACTTAGGTGCAATAAGAAGAACAAAAACCATATAAAAAACTTCAGCTGAAGATAAACGAGACCGGTCATCCTAATACTATAACAAAACTAGTTACGATGCTTCATATGCTTCTTATTTGTCCACCATTTATACTTAAAACTATGTCCCTAAAATGACTTTTCAATTCAACTAGGACAAAAATAATAAGACAAAACACAAGGGAGGAAAATAACTCACATGCATACACCAACTGCATATAAGGATCGTCTGATTTATCAGCTTCATCTAACAAGTGGGAGTACTCCATCAACTAGTTCATACCATACAATATTCTAATTTCAATCAATTGACAATACAAATCAACAAATCGATAACAAACATAAAACTCAAAGCTAGCAAACCTCAGCTATTTTTTGAATCATAGTCATCGGTTCAAATATAATAACCGGCAGTGTAACCAGTGAAGTTACATCTGCACCAATATAATTCTGCATCATTTTCCAGTAACCATCTCTTTCCTGTATACACATATGTCAGCAATCAGCATCGTTATCCTCAACAATCAATAAAACTGGAAAACAAAACAAACGAAGTGAGCAATGAGCACCTCGGGTTTCCATCTTCCTCTCTGAGCTTCATCATCTACATCATCTTTACCACCCTCTGGGTTTATGACTTCTACACCTTCATATCCAAGAAGCCTATAACCAAATCAGAATCATAAAAAACAAGGAACAATTTTCATACTCTGGTAGAATTCATACATAAACAACGAAGAATTGGAGGTTTATTGAGGTGAATTATTGAAGGGATGTTAGAAATGAAGTACCCGTTAACAGATCGGTGCATAGCGTTGCTGAAGAGAGAAAACCGGGAAGACATTGCGGAAAAGAAACCCTTGCTTTCATTCTCCTTTTGCGGGGTTCCCATTCTCTCTCTCTGAAACTGAAACCCTAATTCGCAAGATGATTGGGATGAAAAGATATTTTCTAACCTTATGCTTCCTCCGAGCTCATCGAATCCAAATAAAACTCAAACTGAAATGGAGATGGACCGAAGTGGTGTATAGTTTAGTATCAATTATTTTTTTAAGTTTTTTCTTAGTTAAAAAAAATATAAATTTAGATTATCTCATTAATAAAGTGAATATATTGCTAGCTTTAACTCTTAGACTTTGTTTGGATTTGGATGGAACGTATATATTGCTAGCTTTAACTCTTAGACTTTGTTTGAATTTGGATGGAATGTATTAGAATAAAATGAAATAAAATAATATTTTATTGTTTGAATTATTTAAAAACGGATGGAGTAAAGTGAAATGGAGTGATATGGATTTTGTTTTATTTTGGAACTAGAAATGTGTAAAGTTGTGGAAGTTACGGTGGAGAAGAGCTTCTTAGGCGACGGAGCAGGGGGTATACATGCAAGGCTAGCACTTCAACGCTCAAGTCAGTATGTGAATTATAAGAGGATATTTAAATTGTGTTTGAAACTTGTTATCTGAAATAGAGTCATCTCATATATAAGGAAGAGGAATAATTACATCGTTGTTTTACCGATGTAGAATGTAGGGGACCGTTGGATGCGTTGGAGGCACAAATCTCCTACTTTTGGGTCTTTGATGGTCTCATGGGCTGGAGAATATTCTAGAGGCTTAGTGAATACCTAATCTGAATATGGAACATTTCTGTCTTATGGTGGTCGAATCCATATAAGCATTGACCAGATCGAGGCAGATATGGCCGACCCATAACAATTGCCCTCTAAGCCCTTATGATAGGGAACAAGCACGGGAGTTTAAAGGATTATAGACACTGGCTCATGACAATACCTTTTTTTGCTTCCATTATTTTGTAACTCAAGTGTCCTTTAAGGAAGTGATTACAACCTTTATAGGGAACTTAAATGCTCAAGTATTACGTGCGAGATAAGTGATTGTTGATAAGATACCTTTCATTTCATATGGTATGTTCATAAATGTGGGAAGAATTAGGGTCACTTTTCTTCCAGGTTTTTCTTCCTCCTCGTTCTTGAACGGTTACTTCTTTTTCTTCTTCGAAGCATTTTTCCATGTTCTTGAATTTGTTAGCGCGACATGGGGAAAAGATCTCAAAAAACCGTGAAAAGAAATATGGTGAACCCATCATCTTTGTGGGAAGGTTCCATATATTCTTTGATTGTCTCGATCTTTAATGAAGAGGATAACTTAAATGGAGCATTTTCTGATGTGGTGAACCTTCACTTTGTGAGCTTACTATTCCTGGTGATAAAGACAGAATTTGTAATGAGTATGGTAAATATCCCATTCCTCTGTATGAGTATCTCTTTTCGACTTTAGGAGTTCGTTTTCCCTTTACCACTTTTGAAGTGGGTGTTTTCAACTATTCGATGGTGTCCCCATCTCAACTTCATCCCACCACTTAGGCGTACATTAAGGCTTATCAGTACTATTGTGAATATTTGAAGGGAGAAACATTTTATTGTTTTTTTCTTTCATCTATTCCACTGCAACTGGAGTACTCTATCCCGACTAATGGAGTGGGAGTTGGTCCTTTCGGTGCTAATGATACGGGTCTTTGAAGTTTTTCCTGAACCACCATCTTTTACGAACCATTTTTTTGTTTCCCCCTTCATCCCCAGGCTCATGCAATTGTATGTGAGGTTTAATAGGGGATGGAAGGTAAATGTAAGCCTATGTTCCCTCATTGTTGGTCGGTGAAGTGCCTTCTCTTAGAGAATAGCCCCTATGTTTATGGAAAAAGTGAATTTATCGTCGAGGATTATTTGCACAACAAGAAGTTATTGGATTTTGTTAACTGCTTGGATTATGTTAAACGTGTAATCTCCTCGAACGAGGCTGATAGAAGCATTTGAAGCGTTTGATAGATGTCTCCTTGTTGATGGGGACTTGCTCTCGTGAAGTTCGTTGAATTTCCTTTTGAAAATACATTGCAGCAAGTTGAGCATTTTCATTGTTTGTTGGTTGTTTCGAGAGAGTAAATTTGTCTAGGCCAGGTTGTTATAGATGGTCAAATTGTCTCTATTCTTGAATAGGGCCCATGCACCCGCCCCCCCCCCCCCCTGCCTTTTGCTTCTAATTGTATTATGTCTTTGCCATCAGTGAAGTTCTTCATCGTTATTGTTTAAAATGCATTTGTTTTGCTTTAGATGCGATTTTTGCCTCGTGGTATCGTGTTTCTCTTACACACATGTGATTTATAAATACTTTTTGCTACAAAAATTATTAGTGTGAATAATATCAAAACATAAATAACATCGTCTTGTGTTTACTATTTTATTTATGGGATATCGGTTTTAAGATGTGTACACTTAACGTGTCGGGCGTTGATATATCCTGTCATAATAGTGTTTGCAACTGGGTGTTTGGAGTAGGCACTTAGATTTTATTTTTCAAAACTTTAACAATGTTTTTAATATTCTTACCCATTTAAACATTGTTATTATTCGGTTGGGACCCAAGGAGAAATAGGATCCTAAGACAACTAGGGCTTGCTTTGGAACCCTACTACTCACATGATTTGTTTGCTACAGAGAGTAGTAAATGATATTTGCTTAAAGTGTAAATAACCTTAAGTATTTTAGGGAGTCATGTATGATTGTTTCTCTTGAGAGTGAATTGTGTTAAGATGTGTGCATTACCTTGATGGAATTTTGAGGTAGTATCGTGAGGTTGTACTCAGAGTGTGCTTGCACAGAAGAAGCATTGATATAGTTTGATGCGTCAATAGGTTAGAACAGAGCTGGTGAAATATGAGTCAGGCTCTAGGAATTTATGCTCACAATTGTACATGTAAGTATTTCATGTTGAACCAACTAGATGTTGTTATGCCTTAATCACATTTATATGGATAAGGCACGAGTTTGGTTTATTGTGGTTATGTTTCAAATTATACTTATAGCTCGGATCCTACTCGACTAGAGGTAGATTATCCATGTCCTTATCCCCTGAGATTATAGCTCAAATTGAGGTGAATGCCTCCAGTCTTCACCATGCTCGCCTTTTAATTGAGTAAATCTGAAGGGGAGCATCATATATGCGTGAAAGCATGTATTTCTTTGACACCGAGTATTTGAATATTTTATTTAGACGTGTAAATTGTCTCCTATAGCACCCTTGGGGGAATCAGTTGTTGTAGTCAGATGTGCAAAGTGTCTCCAACAACTCTCTAGATTCTGAAGACCGACAAGGTGTTGTGGGAAATTGATTGTTGTAGTCAGGCGTGAAGGTTAAGGAAACCTAAGAAATGGGTGTTTGAATTGGGTTTCTATAATGAAAAATTTTTGTTGCCCAAAACAAAGAACAGAGAACCTAGAATAAAATAATGAACACAATTTTTTTTTCCTAGTTCATTGTTAACGAAGCTACCTTCAGTCCATCCGCCAAGGTGATTTTGCCTTCTCACAAGGACTTAATCCACTATAACCAAACTTGATGTTAATTCTCTATTTGTGTGATTGGCATTATGTTTGGTAAAACTAACTTATCATAAACATGTTTAAATAAGATGTTCTATCAACTGGAGAACATGTTGAACAAGATCACTTTGAAATGCTTTGTAAATGTGTTTGCGTTTGTTTGAAAGTATTTTTGAAATGTGCCTTCTTTTAGGAGAACTTCTTGATGATTCTCGTCTCTATAAGAATATATACAAAGTGTTGACTTTTGAAAATAGTTCAACTAGATGTTTGTTTTGAAGAATATATTGAAAGTGTGAGGTGTAAAAATGGTATTGTTTGTGAGCAAGAAACTACGAGTGTTCTACCTACTCGAAAAGTATTTTTTTCTTTTCCACCCCCTTTATATAGTGTTATCTTACCATTAGTTAGTGAGAAACCATATCATTGGATGTGAAGGGACAGGCGTGGGTCATCATACAATCATAAAAGTCAACATTGTGAGATAACTTATCAATTTGTCATAAGGGTCTAAGATCGTTTATCGAAGGCAACATCGAAGGGTCATCAAGGGACTACGATCTTGTATTTGAGGATCATTGCTAAAGCATCCCACTTTCAAGGGACGTGACTGTTTTTATTGAAGGCAACAAGTGTGGGTTAACCCTAGAGGTGCAAGTGTGCAAAGTGTTTGTTTTTCATGCTTTTTATCTTTGAATTTAGGGTTTTCTACTTGTTGATTTTATGTCTTTCCACACAAACCTAATTACTAGCAATAATAAAGAGAGCGATAAATTGTAGAATTTAAATGTCATACGCTATTACAATGCTTTGGGAATGAGGGGTACAATTTGTGAATAGGGGAAAGAAAGTAATAAAGCCCTAATTGTTAGACGGTGTAGCAAGTGATCGAGATGGGGGTGAATAGATCACCTCCTTATTATTCAAGGATTTAAAATCTTTTATCAAAGTTGATTAAAAACAACGGGAAAACACGGTCCCAAATCGACTTCCGTCAATTTTGAACCGACTACTAGAAAACCGGACATACAATAAACTTACTGGATTTTTATTTAGATGAAATAGATGAAATTTAACACAAATCAAATGTACGTTTCAATGCGCTTATCACAATAACGCTATTTCTAATGAGAAAAATAAACTTGCAAGCACTTTTGTCGAACAGTTGCCGTATGTTTGTTCGATGATCAACAATAATGGTGGTTTAGTAAAAGAGTTTGTACCACTATTGTATTATTGAACAGAAAAACCAACAGACCAATTGAATCACAAATGTGCAGAAAATGTAAAGAGAAAGAGAGAAAGAAAAACGTTACATAGGGAGTTTGGTAAGGAAGTTCCCCACTGTCATCCTCGCGTGTGGGTACGTCTCCCTCTCAATTCCAAACTAAAATTGAAACTTGTTATTTCAAAGTGTTAAATGTTGTTTACAAGGTTACAATACAAAGATAGAACATAATCACTAAGATCTTCTTTTTGTATGAACCTTTACT